GAAGAGTGGCAAAATACGATAACGGCATATATATTATAGGAAAGTATGAACAGGCCATCAATGATAGGGTATCTCGAGAACATCGATCAGTTAAAGAGGCTAGGCACCATGACAAGCAGCAAGAAAATGCAATGTAGTTGGGTAATTTGAACTGATAGTACTTTGAGCATTTGACATTTGTTGACAAGGTGCCTTTCCAAGAATTTATATGGATATACGCAAGAGTAGCTTAAATCCTAGGTGAAAATATCAAATAAATATATATTTCATATAATACTACCAATAATATAAGCATATCAAAGTTAATATAATAATAATATATAATAAAGTAAGTAATTTATACACTAAAATCTGGTGGCGCTCATGATTTCTCAATACAAAACCAATTTTTTTGTTAAAATTTATCACAAAATTCTATCAGTATAAGAGACCAAATCCGATGTAAAAATGAAATAGAATTGAGTATACTAGAGTGTTTTTGTCATATGATATAAGAAGACTGGATGTTGTGTCTTATAAATATCTGGCCTTAACTATCTTTACCTGATGGACATATTCAATTTATAGATATGAAGTAGACGATTTTTTCAGTGTGGCGAGAATGAATCCCATTTTGTTAAAGTATAACCAATCATACCATCTTTTACGCAGTTTTGTAATTAGATGCTCTTTACTGATACTTTATTGGCCAACTGAAAGACATCTCAATCAAGAGACAATTTGAAAAAATGCCATAAATCTATCCTTATAGTCACATGTTCATTTGCATACCATATAAGGCGCTGTTCCGATTTATTAAGTCAACCAAAGTGTGACTATCTCAAAGGCATTCATAACGAAAATATGATTCTTGTTTCGCCTTTTCTTAATACCTGTAATTAAAGTCTTTCATTGTTAATTTTCAAACAAAAATAATATTTCCGGAAATATTTGGCTGCTCCCTTAAAGAAGGTACTAGTAAATGAAATTAATTTATATTGATTTCTGAGGCATTTTGTTATTATATGAGTAAGACCTTCAAAACATGTTAAAAGGAGCATATGACCTTAGTTTACAGTAAAAAAATCAGCTACCTATATCATTTTATAAGAAAAATGTCCGCAAGTTTGTCAAGCTGTTTGTGACGTAGTCGATTTGAATAAAAGATCGATAATTTTACAGAAAAAATGCTCTAGTGTATAGGATAGTTTGCAAGTAGATGAGTTAGGAAGGGTGATTTTTTCACATAGCAAGAGAGAAACCTTGTTTACCATATTTAATTTTACAAAGACATCTCAATAATATAAGGGTTTTGTTCGGTGCCCAAAAAATTATTTTATCAAGCTGGCGTTATACAATAAGTGAATATTATATATAAATATAAATTAATAACTCTACTTCTATCACCCACTTTCTATATGAAACAGATCCCTCTGTTAAACTCTACTATAAATCTCTCTTGAACACAATAAATCTGATAAAACTTTTCTGAACTAACAGTCGTCAAATAGCGTCTCAGGCATAATATTAGTAAATAAAGTGAAACCTAAGGAATATGGTGAATGAGATAAAACCGCAGATCCCAACCTGCCCAATTATGTGGGAAAATGGATTGCCACGCAATAAATTAAAACATTTAGGGTAAATCGAAAATATCAGTCAGTTAGGTCAGTTATTTTCAGTAGAAAATAAACTAAAATTCTTTTAAAAAAGCTGATATATTATAGCTTTGACGGACCTGCAATGATATGACTGACTTCAGGCTTTAGCTAGATATAATTTTGCCTTCAGTTACCGGAAAATTCGATGAATGTTCCGTAGTTTAAGCAATTTCGAGTAAGCAAATAGTATAAAGGTGGATTTTCGAGACTACCTTAAACGAAATGGAGTGAATACATCTCACATGACTGATTTACTGGTAGTCTCGAAAACCTACTTATAAACGAAGAATAAGTAATGTAGCCGATTGTTATACCTTATTTAACTTTTCTTCATCTACAAGCTAACCAAAGAATGTAGATGGGAAAAGATCTGGCCTTCTTTTAAATTCAAATCTGCCATGTAACCCAAGGTCACTCATGGAAATGTGTCGTAGTGGTTAACGTATCGAGATCACACGCTGCACTGTCATTGTTCGACTCCTGCTGGAGGTGGAGGTTGAAACTACAGCCCACTCTGGATGAGAACAGTTTTTAGGATAGCAAGATTATGTGAAATTCAATGGAAACTTCAGCTATACTCATATCATTGTGTGAAGATTCGACTACCAGTCCTTCGTCACTCTAAACGAAATATGGTGGATGCATCTCATATATCGGAGATAAGTCTGCCTTGTTAAAATGCGTTAAAGTTAGATCGGATAAAGTAATGAAGGAAAGAGTTTAATTTCTTCGCAATAATATCGGTTGGTTCGCGTTGCCATTGAATTTAACTTAGCCTTGACTTCGAAAAAGTATTATTATTCAGAGTGGACTGTAATTTCAACCTCACCTGTGTGTCCACACCGGAAATTGAACTTGAGTTGTTCGGGTAAGGTGGAAAAAAATTATTACTTCTTACTATATAGCAATGAGTCCCAGTGGGCAGACATGACTTTAAAAGCAAACCAGGCCTATCCCAAATCACAATTATAGTGAGAATTCCTTATATTAATATCGAAACCCACTAATGACGAACATCAGTTACATCGTAGATTATAATGTAAAATACAAGTTTATCTCTCGTCTTTATTGCTGGCATAAGGTAGCCATAGAAATATAAATTGCAAGAATTAAAGAATTGTGATCAAGAACCGACTTCTTTTAGCTTACCTCAAATTAAGGCACTGATGCGTTGACTTTGCCTATATAAATAAACAATTAAAAAAATTACTTTCACATTACAATTCATGTGGTAAATAAAAAAGTTAAAAATAGTAAAGAAAAGAAAGGAAATGGATAACGAACAAGAACAAATAACTTAATTCCTTTACAGCAAAACTAATGATGTTGGTTTGTCTTGATCTACTCCAACCTGGGTGCTTTAT